GTCTTCCGGTTGTTCCGGTTGTTGCCACTTTTGAATGATGAATACACACTACCGCCGCCTGCTGGTAAGGAGAGTTATTGCCACTCACGCATGCGCAGTTCATACGTGCTCGGCTCGGATTTGCGGTGTGTTCGAGTCGGCAAATACGCAGGAGAGTCCGGCGATGCAACAGTCTGTGTCGGCGTTGGCGACTTCTCAGGTGACTGGCCGGTGTATCTGGGCCTTAAGAGGTTTGAGATAATGCTGCCCTTTTATCTTGGGGCTTTTCATTATCTACAAATGATTTGCCTGAAACACTCGCATGTTGACTCAGCTTGATTTAAGATCTACGAGTAAAATATGATCAGGAAAACACACACCTACTTCTCTTTAAACCCTCCTGCTTGTTATATTTCACTTCAGCTAAAGTCAACACCTACCTGCTATGAAAGCTAAGCCATACAACCAGAGGAACAATATTTTATCATTTGTTTATGAAGAACTTTTTCATTTAAGCTCTGGCACTGACACCTGCTACCACATCTCTACGGCACACAGCTCAATCCATCGCAAGGCATTTCTGCTGCAGGGCAGGGAGGAAGGACTATCTGTCCCTGTAAATCTACCACTACCGCCGCCTATATAAATGCATAAAGAAGAAATGTAGTTTCAAAAGTGACAGACCGTAAAGTTTGCATTTTATAACACAAAATAGCAATCGATGAGACAGAACGATCTCAAAAAGGTGCATTGATGTTATGAGAGCAAATAAACTGCTGTTTCCATCAACTTCAAATCTCCTGAAGGGTTCAAAACTCACACCTTACTTCTCTTTTTCTGTCACCACTCGATTTTCTCTTTCTAATTCTACCCCTGCTATTAACTTAAAAATACATCTAATGTTCCCTTCCTGCTGACCAAACTGCTTCAACTAGGAGGGAGCAATTCCTCTCTACCAAACCATGTCTGCATGGATAGAGCTCATTAATTTGCATTCCCCTCGGGGGAGAAAGAGTGTCATAAATGCAGAGTGGGAAGTGAGTGTCGTGGGTGAGCTGATGCTGCCCTCATGTGGCCAGGGTGAGCAGAGCATAAAGGACTGGTTACCTTCCCAGTCAGTTACAAAAGCCCCAAATGACTTCATAATGACAGACACAGCATTCCACTATAGTTCTTCAAATCTTTATTCTTCAACTTCACCTTCTTATTTCAGTCCTTCCGTACATGTTTTGCCGTCGAATAACTTCAGCCTACTTTCAGCTACAGAAATCATTCAAATATAAAAAATATTCAGCCTTTTCAGAACATGATGGGAAACTTTCAACTTTTTCAAAATATTTTATACTTTTTGAAATAATCAACTTTTTAAACTCTGTTTTTAACATGTAACTCAATGGGAAGAACCTTCAAATCCTCTTTACCTACACTGTGCGCCAAATGCTACTCCTTCCACATACTTTCAGCTAGGGACTTCATTCCAACTTTAAAATGATCACAATAAATTCAGCTATAAAACTTATTCTTCAGATTTTTGATATCTTTTACACTTTTTTAGATATTTAACTTAGTTTGGAGCTTGGTAAAGAGGCCTCCTTCAGATTTTAACATTAATGTGTATTGCGCTGCTCGTTAAGTCTGGAGTTCTTTGATCTCAAAACAGAGTGGGGGAGAGCTTGAAATTCGCCCCAAAAAATGTTTAAAACCTGGCATAACTCCGAAACCCGACACTCCTGGGACATCATTTTTCATGAAAGACGTAGGAAAACCTCTCCTACGTTGAAAAATAAAAAAGAATTAAGCAAACAAATAAAACAAAATGCCTCTTGAGGGCATGAAGTGACAAAAGCGTTCAACATGTCTCTATTAAGGCCCATTATAAATTCAGCTTGATCTTTCGTCAGAGCAGCAGCTGCGCACCTTTAGTAAATCTGCCAAAAATGCCACATTATTGACCCGAAAGTACACAAACAGCAGACTCAGACGCTCGTAAGGGTCCTGACATGCTGCACACGTTGACATTTTACCAATATCAGCTACCGTTTTTAAACTATAGTTAGAAATGTAAGAGGTTTATCTCTCATTCAGATCAATGGAACAGCTTTCCTTTCACTGCACATCTCCATGGTAACCTTTGATCTCTGCACACAGGTGTTTGATAACGTCGTCACCTCAAACACAAAGACTGTCTCAGCCTATTATTTTCTGTCTGATGGAGACTTTATAGTGACTTCAACATGTTCCACATATTTTATACATTATTGGTGACGTTTGTTTTTAGTTCAAACGTTTGCAGTTAAAATATTCTGCTGTCTTTTTACTTTGTTTTCTCTTAATACACATTCATTCACTACTACTTACATTGTATTATGTATTACATATTGTACTGCCAAGTGGT